TCATGTTATAGCATTTTGACAGCATTGGTCGACTGGATATAATTTTTACATCTCACCCGAAAAGTCATACACCCTTGCTTGTTTTTATTATCTGTTATCTCCTGTTTTTTTGTTGTGTTAACTCTGTTCTAATCTAAGTCTTCGAATTCGCCGTCTGAGATCATTTCCTCAACTTTACATTCTTTTAAAACTTTTACTACGATCCCTGTGGACGATATCCGGTACTTGTACCACTTTTATTACTTGAAAGACGATATTGGGACTATTTGTATACTTGATTTTGGTCCTGATTGTAGTATGTGGTTTCCACCGATCAAGTTTTTGGCGCCGCTGCCGGGGATTTGTTAGTTAAAAGTTTTATCTTTTAGTAAAGTAAAAGATTTGATTTTTCTTGTCTCGTTTTAAATCGTTTTTAAAAGTGGTGTATGTCACGGAAACATTGCGGGGAAATTTTTGAATTGGATCCCGATATTGAGAGAACGTTTCACCAAATAAGGAGGGCTTAAAGAGCATTTTTTGTTCTACTCTCTCCTAACATGGAGTTACCTCCCCCAATCATCTCTGAGATTCCACATTTAAAAAACCAACCGCCTGCCTTTGGGACTATACCACCATTTTCGAATTTTCCGCAAGAATACCACCATCATAATAATCACAATGAGAACACAGAATCGGAAAATAATGAACAACCAAGAGAGCAAACTCCGAATATCATAAATTTTGGCAAATTCCAAAAATGGAAGGATCATGGACTATGCTATCCCTGATTTTGAGCAATTAAATTCTTGGATAGTTAGGCCGTATATGACCGCTCTTCATTTCGAATTAAAACCGATTATGTTTCGCATGTTGCAAACAAACGGATAATTTGCCGGATTACCCACACTCACATTTGAAATCCTTTATGGAAATCACTGATGCTTTCCTGATCCCGGGAGTGTCTAATGACGCTCTGAGACTCACTTTATTTCCATTTTCTCTAAGGGATCGGGCAAAGGCATGGTTTAATTTATTAACTCCGGGTTCTATGCCTTCATGGAGTAATATGGCGGAAAAGTTTTTGCGAAAATATTTTCCACCAACCAGGAACGCTAAGTCCAGGAATGAAATTTGCCTTTTTAAACAAATGGATTATGACGCTGTTCCTGACGCTTGGGAAAGGTTCAAAGAGTTGTTAAGGAGATGCCCTCACCATGGAATCCCGTACTGTATTCAACTCGAGATGTTTTACAATGGGTTAAATCCCATGGCAAAATAAATGTTCGATGCGACTGTGGGCGGAGCCTTTACAGCTATGACCTACAATGAAGGATATGAGATCCTAGAAAAAATTTCTGCTAATAATGGACATTGGGCTGATCCACGTGCTCAACCGCAAAAGAAGACAGCAGGAATACATGATGTTGATGCATATACTGCATTGACAGCACAACTCTCTTCTATGACCAATATGCTTAAAAATCTAACTTCTGGCCAAGGAGTGCAGTCAACTGTCACATCACCTATTCTAGCTGCCCTCTCAGTGCAATGTGTCTGTTGTGGAGGGGAACACTCTTATGAACTGTGTCCACATAATGCTGAATCTGTGAATTATGTTCATAACAGATCGAATCCCTACACTAATACATACAATGCCAGTTGGAGACAGCACCCAAATTTTTCATGAAATAGTCCAAGTTAGAACCCCCCAGTCCATAAGCGACAAGGAAACCCTAATTTTCAACAACATCAACATGCAAGCAGATCTAATTCTTAGAATCACCATCATCAGAATTTTCAAAGTAATCAACCACCTTTTCAGACCAAACCACCTCCACAGTCCGAATCATCATCTTCTTTGGAAGCTATGATAAAAGGACTAGTGGCTCAGTCCCATGCACAACAGCAAATGATGACTCAAAATCAATCTTTGTTCAATCAACAAAGTTCTGCCATCAGAAACCTGGAAACGCAAGTCAGTCAACTTGCTCTTAATCAGAATAGTAGAGCCCTTGGTACTTTGCCTAGTAACACTAAAGTCCCGAGAGATCTAGGAAAAGAACATGTGAAGGTAGTGACTCTTAGGAGTGGTAAGGAATTAACTGAGATCATACCAAAAGAAAGTGAACAAGTTGTGTCTAAACCTGAGACTATACCTATGGTCCCTGTTACTGAAAGTCCACCAAAACCTTTGGATAACCCACTTCCTGAGACCACCACCTTTGTTCCTCCTAAGTCGGACTATCCTTTGTTATTCCCAGAAGAAGTTTCTAGGAAAAAGCCAATTGAGGATGAGGTTATAACAGGTCCAAAAACCAAAGTTGTAATCTCATCTGAACCTCAAGAAAGTAAGACCAAGACTCTAGGTACTCTGGACCCATCTTGCTCAACACAACCTGACAAAGCTATCATAAAGCCAGTTCCTCTTTATGTTCCTTTCCCCCAAAGGTTAAAGAATCAAAAGGAAGAACTGCAATTCAAAAAGTTTTTGGAAGTGTTTAAAGCATTGCACATCAACATACCTCTTGTTGAAGCAATTGAGCAGATGCCCAGTTATGCCAAGTTCCTTAAAGATATATTGAGTAAGAAGAAGAAATTAACTGAATATGAGACCGTAGCTCTTACCGAGGGATGCAGTGCGCTTCTAATCAACAAAATACCTCCAAGCTTAAAGACCCAGGGAGTTTCACTATTCCTTGTTCTATAGGTGGAAAGGAGATTGGTAAAGCATTATGTGATTTGGGAGCTAGTATCAACCTTATGTCTTTGTCTGTTTTCAACACCCTAGGCATAGGAGAAGCTAGACCCACCACTGTCACCTTGCAATTGGCCAATAGAAGCATAGCTTATCCTAAAGGTAAGATTGAGGATGTCTTAGTTCAGGTTGACAAATTCATCTTTCCGGCTGATTTCATCATCCTTGATTTTGAGGCTGATAAAGATATTCCCATAATCTTAGGAAGACCTTTCTTAGCCACTGGTGGAACTTTGATTGATGTCTAAAAGGGAGAGCTAACCATGAGACTCCAAGACCAGAAAGTCACTTTCAATGTCTTTAATTCCTTAAAGTACCCTGATTACTTAGAGGAATGCTTAGGAGTTACTGAGATTGAGACAATGTGCTATGAGGAAAGAGTTAGGAAGGCCTGTAAGTTAGAAGAGGAGGAAGGTGTTGAGATAGGTGATGATACTGTTGAGGATTTAGAATGTGATGTCCCATCTGATGCTGCAGCATTTGAGTTGTTGGACAATAGTGAGCTTAAGAATTTTACCCCTTCTATAATTTCACCACCTGTTCTAGAGTTAAAGCAACTCCTATCTCACTTGAAGTATGCATTTCTAGGAGAGGAAGGTAAATTAGTTGTCATCATATCATCTACCCTAGATCTATATCAAGAAAAGAAGCTTGTAGATATGTTGAAGTTGCACACCAAAGCCATAGGATGGACGATTGTTGACCTTAAGGGGATTAGTCCTTCTATATGTCAACATAAGATCATCCTAGATGAAAAGAACTTCAAAATCTATAGAGCCTCAAAGGAGATTGAACCCGATCATGAAAGAAGTAGTGAAGAAAGAACTTTTGAAATGGCTAGACGCCGGAATAATTTTTCCAATAGCCGGTAGTTCTTGGGTTAGTCCAATCCAGTGTGTCCCAAAGAAGGGAGGGTTTACTGTTGTCACCAATGACAAGAATGAACTCATCCCTACAAGAATAGTGTCTGGTTGGAGGGTATGTATGGATTACCATAGGCTAAACAAAGCCACTCAAAAGGACCATTTTTCCTTACCTTTTATTGATCAGATGTTAGACAGGTTGGCTGGAAAAGAGTATTACTGCTTTTTTGATGGATGCTCCGGATATAACCAAATAGCCATATCACCCGAGGACCAAGAAAAGACCACTTTCACATGTCTCTATGGTACTTTTGCCTTTAGGAGAATGCAATTTGGACTTTGCAATGCTCCTGCAACTTTTCAAAGATGCATGATGTCCATATTCTCTGACATGCTTGAAAAATCCATAGAAATCTTTATGGATGATTTTTCAGTTTATGGCTCATCTTTTGATAATTGTTTGGAAAATTTAAAAAGGAGTCTTGAAAGATGTGAAGAAACTGATCTAGTTCTCAACTGGGAAAAATGTCATTTCATGGTCAAAGAAGGAATTTTTTTAGGCCATTTAATTTCCAAAAGAGGAGTTGAGGTACACAAAGATAAACTTGAAATCATTAAAAAACTACCTGATCCAACTACTGTTAAGGGAATACGAAATTTTCTTGGTCATGCTGGGTTTTACCGAAGGTTTATAAAAGACTTTTCAAAAATATCAAAACCTTTGTGTTTACTTTTGCAACATGATCAAAAGTTTGATTTTACGGATGAATGTAGAAATGCATTTAACACTTTAAAGAAAGCTTTAGTAACCGCACCAGTAGTTGTTGCTCTTGACTGGACCAAGCCCTTTGAGATCATGTGTGATGCCAGTGATTGGGCTGTTGGAGCTGTCTTAGGTCAAAGAAAGGAAAAAGTTTTTCATTCAATTTATTATGCAAGTAAGACCTTGAATGAAGCACAACTCAACTACACAACAACTGAAAAAGAACTTTTAGCTGTGGTTTTTGCTTTTGAAAGATACAGATCATATTTGATGGGAACAAAGGTCATTGTTCACACTGACCATGCTGCCATCAAGTACTTGATTTCAAAAAAAGATGTTAAACCTAGGTTAATAAGATGGGTTTTGTTGTTACAAGAGCTTGACCTTGAGATAGTGGATAGGAAAGGAGTTTACAACCAAGTTGCAGATCATTTGTCAAGGTTAGAGAAGCCTAGGGAGACCCTAGAAGAAGAAGAGATTGTTGAAACATTCCCCGATGAAAGAATTTTAGTGTTAGAATCAAAGCCACCATGGTTTGCTGACATAGCAAACTATTTGGCTTGTGAAATTAGACCTTCTGATATTTTTGGCCATATGTGCAAAAAGTTTCTCCATGATACTAAAACTTACCTTTGGGATGACCCTTATTTGTTTAAAATCAGTGCAGATCAAATTTTGAGAAGGTGCATCCCAGAAACTGAAGTGGCAGCAATTCTACAGCATTGCCACCAAGCATCATATGGAGGACATTTTGGAGGCCAAAGAACAGCGGCTAAAATTTTACAATCTGGTTTTTATTGGCCTACTCTCTTCAAAGATGCCCATAATTTTGCACAAAGATGCAATGAGTGTCAAAGAAGTGGTTCCATTTCCAAAAGGAATGAAATGTCACTTAATGAGATCTTAGAAGTAGAGTTGTTTGATGTATGGGGGATAGACTTCATGGGACCATTTCCCCCCATCAAATCATTGTCAATACATTCTAGTGGCTGTTGATTATGTGTCTAAATGGGTAGAGGTCATGGCTTGTGTTACTAATGATGCAAAAACTGTGGTTAAATTTCTTCAAAAACAAATTTTTACAAGGTTTGGTACCCCAATGGCACTAATCAGTGATGAGGGTACCCACTTTGTAAATAACCTGTTGAGAGAAGTTCTTGAAAAGTACAACATTAACCATAGAATAGCAAATGCCTACCACCCGCAAACCAATGGATTCGCTGAACTCTCAAATCGTGAAATAAAAGGAAATTTAGAAAAGGTTGTCAAGCCAAACCGGAAGGATTGGGCTTTCAAGTTGGATGATGCTTTATGGGCATACCAGACTGCTTTTAAAACACCCATTGGTATGTCCCCATATAAGCTGGTTTTTGGTAAGGCTTGTCACCTACCTTTGGAACTAGAACACAAAGCATATTTGGGCCATCAAAGAATTAAATATGTGCCCAGATATGGCTGCGGTAAAAGAAAAGTCCAGTTGTGTGAATTAGAGGAACATAGGAATCTGTCCTATGAAAATGCCAAGATTTATAAAGATAAAACAAAAAAATGGCATGATAAAAGAATTCAACACCGGGAGTTAAGAGCTGGTCAAAAAGCTCTTTTGTTTAACTCTAGATTGAAACTGTTCCCGGGAAAGTTCAAGTCCCGTTGGTCTGGACCTTTCCTCATTCATAAAGTTTATCCGTATGGAGCAGTTGACCTAATCAATCGCGAGGACAAATCTGTGTTTAAAGTTAACGGTCAAAGAGTGAAGTTGTTTCATGATCCGGTAGAAATTCCAGGGTTATGCTCTGTGAATTTTGTTATCCTTTGCTAAAAGCTTCGGTATTTTTGGACTTTTCATAGAGTCCAAAATGTTTGTGTGTAAATATTTATATTTGCTTTAATTTCTGTTATTATAGTTAATATTATTATTAATAATATTGTCGTTATTTGTCATGTGTTTTGCAGTCCAGTCAATCATCAAGAAAAGTATGAGGTCTTGCTGCAGCATCTGAAAACCCTAGCTTTTAATGGAGAATCTTGGAAATTTTTAAAGTCTAAAAATGTTGAGTGAAAAAAAACATGATGTCATTCTTAAAAAAATTAATCTTTAAGAAATGTGGTCATATCTTTTATTTTTGCCAGCTAAGTTGGTACAAGGTGTAAGGAAAATGTACTTCTTTGTTTTGGAAAAGATACCTTGTTACCACCTTTTCAAACATCTCACTATTGTCAAAATAACCCATCCTTCAATTGTGACTGATGTTTGAAAACTTGTTGGTTGAAAAGAAAAAGGAAGACTCACATCAAGTACACTCAAGTAGTGCATGCTCCCAAAAATGACATCATGGTACCTTATCTATTTTCCCTTCTTACCCTTGCCTTTTAGAAAAAAACCCCTTAAACTCCCAAGAAACCCTCTTTTTCTTCCTTCTCATTTCCCTCTCATTTTCTAACTGTCTCTCGCTTCCGACTGGTAACCATCCTCCCCAACCATCTTCAACGTTCGAATGGCAAGAGTAAAACGAGCCAAGGTTCGCGATCCACCACCGTCCAGTGCAGCCGAACATACGTCGGCGCAACAGCCTAACCCGCCACCGCCGGTGGCTACTGCCGCTAGGCGTACCCCTGTTTCCTCGCGAAGACAATCGACGAGGAGAGGGAAGAGACTCCCTTGTGCGAAAAAGAAGAAGGGTGAGTCTTCTACAACCCTTATCAATGAAGACTCACCGTCGTCACCGCTGTCGTCGTCTCTGCCACCATCATCCACTCCAGTCGCCATCGATGCCATTCCACCGGAAGTACCCATCGCTGGGCCTCCTCTCCAAATGGTGCCATCCGCTGCCATCATCCCATTTTCAGACCCCCTGAAGAAAGCAAAGAAAATGGTGAAATCCTCCACTGTGCCGATTCCAAAGAAGGCCCCAATCCCAACTTCATCTCCGACCACCACCAACAGGGAATCAATTGAAACTTCTCAAAGGTACAATCCTCATCTGATAGTACACCCCCTGAGGGCCTCTTCACTTCTGATTCTTAGGAAGAGGAGGACCCTGCCTCTATGGCATAGACAGGGGAGATTTTTATGGAAAGTGAGACATGTCTCGAAAACATCACGGTTATTGAAAAACCAAGGAAGCCTCTCCTTTTGACTGCCTCTGGGCAAGATACGGATGATGAGGATGATATGCCTCATGTTGCTCCTCATGATCCCATACCCGACCTTAATGAGAAATTTTTTAGGGAAGAGGATGAAGAACCCCCTGTTGAGGTTGTGTCTAGGAAAGGAAGGTTGGTCAAGGCTTTTGATAAAAAGAATTCAAAGGCAGTAGTTAATGAGGAACCACCTAGGAAGAAGACCCGGTCTCAAAGGGTTGTGATTGAGTCACCTAGGAATTTTGAGACTGATGTTGTAACATCACAGCAGCATTCCTCCAGACCTAAGAGGAAGAGGGTGGCTATGGCCCAAAGGCCAGCCACTATTCCAAGGCCGATCAGACCCCACAATGGTTTTAGTTCTAAGGTTGCTGAAAAGATGCATGCTAGGTTCCAGAACAGGGTTGGATTCCCAGACAAGGGATTTGATAGACAAAGCATTAGGGAATTTGCATTCATAAGGGAGGTGGTAGAGGCTCAT